GGGTGAGACCTGCGGCAGCCAAGCCAGCCGGAGGAGGGGCCCGAGCGGGGGAGGAGCGAGCCACGGGAGCCAGGCAAGGAGGCAGCCAAGGCAGCGGGGAGCCCGCAGGGACAGGCGGGTACCCGGAGCAGTGAGGGTCGGCGGAGTGGAGCAAGACCCAGGGCGGGCTGTGTAACCCGAGAGCAGGGGCGTTTTGGGGTACCGACCCCCCCTGCTACCACTGAGAGGGCACCTCTCAGTGTCAGGGCCCTGGGTTGGGGTCCGGAGAGAGGGCGGGCCCGGACCCCCCACTCCGCCCGGTGACCCAGAGTCAAGTGTTAAACTGAGCACGGCCTAGGGGCAACAGGAGGGGCGGCGGCCCGGACAGGCGGCCTCGTGACACTCCTCCAAAGCCAAATCTTGCTCCCATAGCAACTGGCCACTGACCTATGGGGTGGGACTACAATTTGGCTGCTCAGGAACTTTCAGCTAGTTGCTTTGGGGTTACTGGGTTTAGCCAATGCAAATGGCAAGAGGATCTAGGAACCGCCATGCCAGAATGCGGTTCCTAGTATTGGCTCTGATTGGCTAGCACACAGAGGCTCTCCAATGCAGGTTTGGCCTCCCTTACTCAGTATGCAGGTGAAATGATCTTCGTGCCTAATTATGTTTGGACCCAAACATGGGGGGAGGGGATGGGGCAGGGAAGGCATCTAAAGCTAGACATGAAATCTTGGGTCACCCAATGAAGCTGTCAGTGTTCTGTGGAGAGCCCAACTCCTTGGCCCCTCACTTGCCTTCTTGAGCTGTTTGACGTTGCTGGATCGAATGGCAGCCAACAGCTGGTCCCTCGAGTTCTTCTCCTGAGGAGGAAGTGCTTTCTCCACCATCTTCCTCTGTGTGGCTGGAGAGAGAGAGTTCCTTATATTTTCATTGATCAGGGGTGGTGCTAGTGGAGGTGGAGGTGGGGGAGGTGCAGCTGGCAGCCCACCCTTCTTAGGAGAACTTTTAGGGGAAGACCATGGGGAAGATTTGGGGGATGGCTGTGGGGAAGATTTGGGGGACCCCTTTAGCAAACCGCCTGCCTTTGGCACCTCTAGCAGGTCTTTCTTCTCTCCACATTCCTGAGCCTGCTTCTGCTCCTGCAGGCGTTTCTGCCTCTGCTTGTCCATGTTCCTACTCAGCAGGTTTGTGACTGTCATGCGGGGCCCGGCCAACTCAAAATGGTAGCCCAGCTTCAGGAGGGTAGTGTTCTCCTTCAGCAGCTTGGCTATCTCCATCTCCGTCTTCCCTCCACAGATGTGCCGCTGGTTATGGAAACGCAGCTCTGTCAGGGTGTTGTTCTGCAGCAGGGCACGGAAGATGGCCAGGATGCCTTTACCGGTGATGTGGTTAGAGTCCAGATTGATGCTGCTTAGTGCCTTGTTTGATTTCAACATAATGGCAATGGCAAATGCAACATGGTCATCGGCATGGGTATTGGCCAGGGAAAACACTTTGACCACAGTGTTAAATTCCAAGGCCTCCGTGAAGCGCACGAGGATTTCACTGGTGATGCAGTCGGAGTTATTGACATTTCTTCAGTCTTTCCAAGGGCTCATCAAAAATACTGGAAGCTGCTTCCTCCTCTTCCTTGGTCTGGCTTGGGAGACTGTCCACAGGTTTTGAGGGGTAATTTTCTGGCATCTGTTTAGGCTCTGTCTCTGGTGTTTGAGGAGCCTTTTCCTCAGTGACTCCTTTGGAGTCTATAAGTGATTTCTCCTTACCATCAACCTTTGAGTATTTCTTTAAAGCTGAATGCTTTTCTTCTTCTTTACCATCCTTTTCTCTCCTTTCTTCTCCTTTTCGGTCTTTTCCTAGCTCTTTCTTTGCTGGCGCTCTCTTCTCTTCTTCCTTTTGGCCCTTTCCTATGAGTTTTTTGTCGATGACTTTGTCTTTGTCCTTGGGGGCCTTTTCTCCTTTGGGTTTGTCATTGCATTTACTCTCTAGTTCTTCCTTCTCTTTGTAACTTGTTTTCTGAGCACATTCTCTTCCCAGATCAAAGTCTCGTTTCCTGCCCAGGTCTTGTGAACGAGCTTCCTTACCCCTTCCTTCCAGGTTCCTGGGGTCTTTTTTCCTCTCTGCTGGTTTCCCTTCCTAATGAGCAAGAAAATTAGAAAAAGATGCAACAAGCTATTAGGTACAAGTCCTATAAATGTCTAGCATATAAAACAGAGTAACTGGGTAACATTCTGTTTTTGGTATTTACCTTAATATCAGTGCTGCTTAACATAAAACAGTTTCAAATTCTGTTGTTATTTCAGTTTTTCAAAGATAGATTCATAACCCTTAGTAGTAATCTGTCTCCCCACAGTACACAATACACATGTAAGCACACTAATCAGGCACTGTCTGACACATGCAGCATGCTGGTAGCTCATGAAAAGAACAAAAGATTGCCCAGACTAAGGGTACGTCTAGACTACATGCCTCTGGCGACAGAGGCATGTAGATTAGGCTACCCGACAGAGTAAAATGAAGCGGCGATTTAAATAATCGCCGCTTCATTTAAATTTACATGGCTGCCGCGTTGAGCCGACAAACAGCTGGGATGAGGCATACCTGGGTTGTCGACAACTCCCTTTGATGTCGGCAGGGGAGCGTCCAGACTATCGCGCTGAGCCGACAAACAGCTGATCAGCTGTTTGTCGGCTCAGCGCGATAGTCTGGACGCTCCCCTGCCGACATCAAAGGGAGTTGTCGACAACCCAGGTATGCCTCATCCCAGCTGTTTGTCGGCTCAACGCGGCAGCCATGTAAATTTAAATGAAGCGGCGATTATTTAAATCGCCGCTTCATTTTACTCTGTCGGGTAGCCTAATCTACATGCCTCTGTCGCCAGAGGCATGTAGTCTAGACGTACCCTCAATCTGACCCAGGATCCTTCTAGCACAGGCCTCTGTCTTTGGCAATGGTCAGCCCCAGGTCTGCAGAGAAAGGAGCAGGAAACCCTCAGGAACAGATGTGGGGTAAGCCATCCCCCAGGAAAGTCTCACCCTGACCCCTAGTTTTTAGAAATTTAAATTTAAAGGAGTAGCTGAAGCTTTAAAGGGTGGGGGTATAATTAATTAATTAATGAAAGCCACTGACACAAAGACAAATGCTCAACACCATGACAAAAAGCAAATTTGGTTTTTGGGAGGTACAAATTCTGATATAGGGAAACTAGGCCAGGTCACAGAAGAGATGCTACTGCTGACACAGCTGGGGTGTCAGAGACAGCAGATGGACAGGATCAGGAAGACTGACAACAGCCTCAGGAGAAAATGTTGCTGTGTTCTGGACGAGATGATGGACAACACCATGAGGGTGTTGCCATCTCTTTGAAGAAGGGAGCGGAGCATTCCCTGCTTGAGTGGAAATCCACCACCGGCAGAGTTATGAGAACCAGACTGAAAGGAAAACAAAATAATATTGCCCTGATTCAGTGCTGTGCTCCAACAAATGACGGTGACGAAAAAGCAAAGGACAAATTGTACCTTGCATTACAGGCAGAGATAGTGTGTCCTGCCGGGATCTAACAATCCAAACAATGACAGAGCCATGGGTGTGGCACTGTGAATGAAAACGGAGAGGGACTTGTTTTCTGAAATATGAACAACCTGCTCATTGGCAGAGCCCTGTTTCAACAGTGTGACATTGACAAGCTCACATGAGAGTCTCCAGTGACAGGCGTAAGACTTGGATTGACCCTGGGAAAAGAGTGACGGTCACTGACAGGTGGAAAAGTGAGAAGAGAAGCAGATGAAGGCGATGAGCACCAGTTTGGGGCAGCCTCCATCAAGCTAAAACTGAGAAAGCTGGGTCAGCCAAGCAAGGGGAGAGACTATCAAGCTGACAAGGTAAAGTTCTCTTAAATACAGGAAACCTTCACCCTACAGTTACAGAACAGGTTCCAGGCACTTGCAGACTGAGGCGAAGGGTAGGAGAACACAGATGAGGCGATCAGCAAGAAGTGGGAGAAAGGTGGTAATGTTCTGAAACGGAGCAGTGCAGCCTGGTGAGGCTGCAGGCAGAAGAACAGGAAGGAGTGGGTTACATTTAGCATACTGCAAGTCCGAAAAACCAGAGGAGCCCTGAAGAAAAATGTTTAAGACACAAACTCCCAGAAGCAAAGGGCAAATACCTTGTGCAATATAGCAGGGCACTCCAGGAGGTCAAAGGCCTTGTGAGTGTGGACAAACAATATTATATTGGTAACCTGACACACAAGCAGAGCATGCAGCTGCCTGTGGTGAACAAGGAGCCATCTAAACATGATGCAGCTTATCAATGCACCTGGCAAAAACCAACCAACACACTTGTAAGGGATGAACTACAGGAAAAGAAGACATGCACTGCAAGAGCTGCTGGACAGGGTGTCCTCCAAAGAGGAAGCAGACATCCAGGAGGCAGAAGAAGATCTTGATAAAAACAGACACCCCAAGTAAGGAATAGATCTGTGGCTTCCAACCTTTGAGGATGCAGACCCTGTTTCAGTCTATTAACATTTTACACCCCCCCTCCTGTAAACTCCAACAATATAGCGGTGCCTGCAGCCTGCACATCCCTCAGCCTGCTGGGGAAGCAGTGCAGGCTGAAGGATATGCTGGCTGTGAGAGGCTCTGCGCAGACCCCCAGGGGTCTGCCAACCACAGGTTGGGAACCACTGGAAAAGATCATTCAAGCCATCAAATCCTTAAAAATGGGAATGCTCCTGGCAAGGACAACTTGAAAGCAGAAGTGTTCAAGGTAAATCCTGAGTTAGTGAAAATACTGAAGAAAGGGGCCCGCAGTGATTGTAATAAATTGTGTGGTATCACACTTTTATCAGTGCCAAGCAAAGTATTGTGTAAGATCATGGTTCAGTGTGGATCTGAGGCAGTTGATAGTGCTCTCAGAAAAGAGCACACCCTGCAATCCAATGCCTCCTGACAATGATGGTGTTCAAATCCTTTTGGCTGCGCTGTGTCAGTAGATCTTGGTTTGAGGTTGTTCTGGGCCAAAAGAGAGGATTTTTCTGCAGGTTGCATGGAATGAGGACAGTTTGGACACATCATAGTTCCTCATTGCCCAGCATTCTGCACTGGGGAAGGCAGTGTTGAAAGTGCACAGTTCTGACAAATGTTGAGTTTAGTTTTAGCTGTTTCCAGGCTGTGTTTAAGCTCCTGAAGGTGTTCCTGGCTCTATGGACTGTTCCGAATGTTCTGTTGTGTTTTTTTTCTACCATCCTGACTGATGGTACCACCCAAGCATGTGAATGTTTCTACATTGGTGGGAACACAGATCTCTCTCTGTACTGGTGATGGTGAGGCAATATTAAGCGGTTGTCTTATGGTTGCTTTTCAGTTCCATTTTCTGGCTGAATGCATTGAGCTGAGTTGTTTCTTCTTGTATATGATGTTGGATACCTGATGGGAGAATGAAATCATCTGTAAAGTCCAGGTCTTCAAGGGATGCAAATTTCTCACCTTCCAGTTTAATTATGTCCCCTTCTTCAGTTATGAGAAGGGATCAAAGAACCTCCCAATCTAGCTTCACTAGGCTAATCTCTTTTTCATACTCTGTTGCCTTTCTTATGTAACACTCACAAACTTTTCAGTGTCTCTTCAAAGGATAATTTTTCCAGGCCCTTGATCATTCTTGTTGGAGATGAGGTGATCAGTGAGACAACACCTTTGATTTCTATAATGACATTACGAAATTTTATTTATTATTTTCCATCCAATTCCTTGTGGCTCCTAACATTGTGTCTGTTTCTTGATGCCAGATGAACTCAATAGCCAAAGTCTCATGTAGCTTCTGCAATGATGCCCAGGTCCAATTCCTGATATAATGCAGTAATAGAAATGTAGCCGTGTTAGTCTGGTGTAGCTGAAGCAAAATACAGGACTATGTAGCACTTTAAAGGCTAACAAGATGGTTTATTAGATGATGAGCTTTCGTGGGCCAGACCCACTTCCTCAGATCAAATAGTGGAAGAAAATAGTTACAACCATATATACCAAAGGATACAATTTAAAAAATGAACACATATGAAAAGGACAAATCAAATTTCAGAACAGAAGGGGGATGCGGGGGGGGGGGGGAATGTCTGTGGGCTAATGATATTAGAGGTGATAATTGGGGAAGCTGTCTTTGTAATGGGTAAGATAACTAGAGTGTTTGTTGAGACCCACTTGTAAAGTGTTGAATTTTAGCATGAATGACAGTTCAGAGGATTCCCTTTCAAGTGCAGATGTAAAAGGTCTTTGTAGTAGAATGCAGGTAGTTAAGTCGTTGAGACAGTGTCCTTTCTGGTTGAAATGGCAAGAAACTGGTTTTTCTTTGTGATCCTGTCTGATATCTGTTTTGTGGGCATTGATCCGTTGGCGAAGTGTCTGAGATGTTTGTCCAATGTACATAGCTCACTGTTCTCTGTGATCCTGTGTCACCTAAAGAATTCTGGATCATCTTCAGAGTCCAGCTCGTTAATAAATATATCAAACGGCACAGGGCCTAGTGCGGAACCGCAGGGCCTTAACTGTTCACTCTTTGTCAGAATGAAAATTGATCGGTTCTAGTCTTTGTTTTGATTCATGACAATACTTTGCCTTTCACTGCAGGATGACTTAGCTTCTTTAGCTGTCTTGAGTGTAGGACCTTGTCAAAGGCCTTTGAAAGTTTAAATTGTCAACCAGTTCTCCTTTATCCACTACTTTATTGACAATTTTCTAATAGATTAGTGAGACATTATTTTCCTTAGAAGGAAGGATGAAGTGCTCTTAGATCTTATGTATAGAGTGATTATACAGGAGTTTTATCTTTCTATTTTGTGCTCATAATAGCAATCCATTTACCAGATAGAGATGTAAGGCTTATTGGTTTGTAATTCCTCAGATTGCCCTTAGAATCTTTTCTAAATGTTTCTAAATCTAGGCACAACTAGTTACCCTCAAGCTTCCAGTGAAGTAGCTGTTTATAACGAGAGGGGACATATTTTAGCTAGCAGCTCAGCAACTTCATTTCTTGAGAGCTCTTGGATGTAGGCCTCTACCAGTTTGGGGAATCTGTCTGTACAACTTATGAATTCTGGCTATGAAGCTGTTATGAAATTTGTATCATGTAACTCCTCTCTGTGGACGTGGAATCCAGTGGTTGCTGACAAGGCTGTAAGCACATCTCTCCCATACAGCTACAGTGGCGAGTCCTTAACCTTGGTGACTATGCTTTGGATTGAACAATTAGTATGCCAAAGGAAAACTACTTCCTCCAGCTTGTTAACAAGGGGCTGGTGAAGTGCAAACTGGAAAAAACATCAGCATCAGAACAGGGATCCAGGTGTTGGTGGGGAACGTACAAACTTGAGAGACTCGTTGAGACAGCAGGAAGTGCTGTGTAGGTATCCTATTTAACTGTGGCCCAGCCACGGGCAGGGGAAGGCAGTGGAGCTAGAAGAACCCCATGACTGAGGAGAGAAATCATGAGCTGCAGGGGGAATTATCAGGGACACAACAGAGGGGGGCTCTGCCCAAAGCCAATGCACCCTTCCCTTGGGGAGGAACCTGAGGCAGGCTAGCACATACAGATGTCGTACCTGCAGCTCTCTCGTGCTGTGGACGGAAAAGCAGCGGTGTTCTCTCTCCTGGGCATCTGTGGGCTTTTGCTGTCCCAGGCCCCGAAGAGGCATGCTGACAGCCAGGAGGGAAACAGGAAGCCTTTGATAGGCTCCTGGGGAATTGGCAAGAGTTGTGGGAGGTCAGGGAAGACAAAACTAATGTTAGTCAATTGGATCCTGGGATTCCTGGCCAGAGGGGTATCCGGCATGAGGTCGGCATGTGGAGCATGTGCCTAGAGCGGAGCCTAACAGTGCCCAGGTCCAGCAAGCTAGAGGCACATTAGGCCAAGGAGGGGAGGCCCTCCCCCCACCACTGCAGTCTGGGACATGGTCAGCTGATTAGCGCAATCAGAGCTGTGAGGATGGGGATTCCAAACCGGTTTTAAATGCATCCATTTCTTTTCCCAGCATGTCCTCTTCCGACACCTCATTGTCTAATAGTCCCTTGTCTTTCTTACCAGGAAAGACTGTGTTTGTAGTAGGAGTCTCCCCGGCTGCCTCCGCGGGGAAGACTGGTGCAAAGATACCGAGCCGCTTCTCACCAATGTGCTTCTCTTCCTTTAATTGCACCCAGTCCTCACCCCTGGACATCCAGCAGGCCCACTGGTTCTTCACAGGCTTCCTGCTTCTAACAGGCTTAAACCACAAGAAATTCTTGACTCCTCAGCCCTTCTGATCTCCGTGTACACAAACCCTGCAGTCCTTGAGGCTGCTTTTTGTTGACTTAGTGAGGGTGAGATTTCCACATCCTGGGGGGTCTCCATTTGACTCAAATGGCCTCTCCTGGCCTGTTTGTTTCTTTGTGGGTTGGGCTTCATCTCCTGTTCTGTGCCCTGCAGAGACAGGACACAACCAGCCCGCTCCATGCAAACACCGGGCTGGTTGGGAGCAGCTGTTCCACCGCGGAAGCCCAGGAGCAGACTGCAGCTGCCACGGCTAGCACATGGAGACCATGTCTGAGGTGTGGCTTGGGTTGTCTGGTGGTTGGATGAGGTGACATGTGGGCTTATCCTGCATTGTGCTCCATAGGCTCTGCTGCAGCTGATAGCGATAGGAAGCTCGCCCTCGCGCTCTAGGGAGCTCCTGAGGTGTGGGGTCAGACCTGGGTGACACTCCTTGATCCTGGGATAATTCCTGCCTACCTATACGTTCAGACGGGAGTGGAGTGGGCAGAGCCTCGCGGGAAGGGGGAAGGCTTTCGGTTCAAAGACGGGAAGGGACGACGGCACTGCATCCCTAGGCAGCAAGGTGCTCAGCTTGGCTCCGTGCTTGGACGCCGGGAGCTGAACGGGGCTCCCTTGCGGCTTTGATCAGCAGAGCTCAGTGCTGCAGGGGGAGGGAAGCACACTCCAGAACAGACTTGTTTCTCAGCAGAGTTGTGTGGGGGTGTTGGCAGAGGCAGCACCACAGGGGAAAGGAGAAGAAACTGGGCTCGCCTGCCCTGCCGAGAGTGGTCGCAGCTGGCACTGAACTGCACCAATAGATCAGCCAGCCCGACGGCCGGGGGGGGGGCTATCGGGCCTCTGTGGCAGGCTGCAGTCAATGGCCAGGCCAAGCCCACTGGCAGCTCTGACGCTCCTGCCCGTGGAGCTCTGGCGCAGGCCCCTCTCTGCCCCGCCTGGTTCCCTGATGCGCCACGAGCAGTTCAGGGCTCAGTGAGTTTCACAAGTCGCTTTTCTGCGGACCAGGCTGGCCTGGTTCTCAGTGCATGTGGAGCTGCCCTGGGAGACCGTTTGTCGGGAGCATAAACAGATGTCATCTGGGCCCAGGCTCTGTTTATTTCATGTAGAAACTCTTGGCTGCTCGTCCTGGATCCACACAATCAGCTGCAGGGTGGATGCTAGACTGTGCTCTAGCCCTGCAGCAACTCTCCGGGCTTTGCTGTCCCCTCAGCCCAGCTCCTCCTCCTCCTCCTCCTCCTGGCTGCAGCTGCTGGGAGCAGGCGGCTTGAACTCCCCCGGGAGGGGTGGTATTTCTCATCTTGCCAAGGCCAGAGTCTGTTTGCAAGAGCCAGGTGGCGGGTCTCCAGCTCTGGGCGTTGCTGGACACTTGTGATACTTCAAGCTGAAGCAAGTGAGGCTCATTCTTCTCCCCAAATCAGGACTGCCCCATAGCAGCAGGTCCAGGAGTTCTCCCACCAGGCCTGTGCCCGCTCCCCAGCCACAGGCATTTGCATGGAAATCGGATCCATTGGTCCCTGTGTGACAAGCCCCATGCCTCCCTCTCTCCTCAGGAGCCCTCTCTGCTCTAGCAAGAGGGCCCATCTCCAGCACCAGCCTTCCCCACAAACGCCCCCCCTGGCTTCCCCACAGAATGAGCGACCCCTCCCCAAGCCCCTGCCTCCTGGGCTGTCGCTACCACCCCATGTCCCCGTTCCTGCAAGGAGCCCCCAGCCCTGGCCCAGATGCCCAGCTCAGGCAGTGTTTGTACAAGGCGGTTAGACATGACCATGGCCCCACCTCCACTGAGCCCCACTCCACCCCAGGCAGAGTGATGATAGCAAGGTTCGCCCTGCACAGCTGCGCTGGAGAGCAGCTCCCATTAGCACGGCCACCACCGCTTGGGGAAATGGACGCGCTGCGCCGCTGGGGGAAGCTGTCAGCGTGCAAGCGTCTTCACTTTCACACTACACGGGTGGTCTGAGGCGGGCTGCGGTAGCTGGCGCCCCTGCCTGCATGGCCCTCAATGGCGCGACGTCGGCATGACATAATCAGTGGGCGCCCTGGGCGCCCCGTTGAAGGTGGCACCCTAGGTGACAGTCGAGTCGATCTATACTCACGGGCCGCCTCTGGCACTCCAGCAGTGCAGCGTTGTGAGCGTGGGCCTGCCCTCGCTCTAAGCAGGATTTCTAACCTTCTAATGGCCCCTCTCCAATTTATCAACAGCCTCCTGGGC